CTGCGATCTTAGCCAGAATTTCTATTTGGTTGTATGTTGTGGCGTGTGGTAGAGTGCCTGCGCGGATGAATGTCGGATCGACGGAGCTGGCGATTGTGGTGCTGCGTAAAATTACGAGTATCCGCTCTGATGGTAGTGGGAGCTCATCCGGCGGATTGGAGACTTCCTCTTTCGTTTTTATCTCGTGGGGACCTGCAATTGTGACATACGTGATTAATTATTTTTCACACCGATATATATGGGCAAATCTAAAAAATAGGTACACTTTCACAAAAAAAAAAAAAATTAATTTTTAAATTTGTGACCACACCTATGTTTTAAATATCTTTTTATTCGTAATCTCTTAATAAATCGCTTAATATAATTCAATTTGATTAAATTTAACTATTTTATAACTAACTCCCTCAGTTTTGAAGTTATTTTACTAAAATTTTGCACATAAGGGTTTTTTAATACTACCTTCATTATTCCTTAAAATTGTCGAAACAGGTTCGCATTAGCATATAGCTCCAGTACAACTGATTACTCAGATATGTGTTTTTGCGCTATAAATCTAACTAGCTAGATGTTTTAGGGAACCGATTACGATGATTTTATGGAATAATTAAGGTAATGTTAAAAAACGGTTATGTGCAAAATTTTAGTAAAATATCTTCAAAGCTCAGGAAGTTTTTTTATAAAATAGTTAAAATTTAAGCAAAGTTTCAAGTACCGCTGTCTCCAAAAGTGGAGACAATAGGGCAAAACTGAGGACGCCATTGAATTTAGAAGGCTCCAATTAAGTAAGAGCAACTACCGTTTCGACGTATTTTCCAAATGTGCCTTCAATTAAGGTATTTTTGGAATAAAAATTACGTCCAAGATCGCAGAATATTTTATGTTTGGTTTATTCTGAAAGCACACCTCTTGTTAAGGTATCAAATTATTCGTAATTGTTTGTAGAATACAATACACAATTAAAAAGTTCTTAAAACTAGATGCTTCAAAAACTATACGCGAAAAAACGAAAATTTTGGAAATTGTGAAATGTGGAGTTACAGACTTTGAGTTACTTGCCATTTCGTTATTTTTTGATGCACACTTTTCTTACCTAATACAGATAAGTGCTAAATGCCCATTTAATTTCAAATCAGAATATGGTGTGCTTCAAAAGTTATGACATAATTAATTTTGTCCCTTTTAAAAATTACATAAAAAATTCACTTGTTTTTATTTATTTTTTTTTAATTTAAACACCTGTAATTCAAAAGTTATGCAGCAAATTGATCTGATTGATTTGTTTGAGGCTTCAAGTTTACGTCAATGAATTATATCCAAAAGCAACCAGCTTGATATAGTTTCCAACAGTGAAAATAAAGCTAAATAACACCAAGGTTACCTGTTTTTTAGATTTGCCCATATACATACATACATATGGGTGTTTCCATCGGAAGGTCTACCGCAAAAAAATATAAATAAAAGTCATATATCTAACGTATTTATGGACCAATTTATCTGCTTTTTTCGATATATACTGGCTATGTATGTAAGTTGAAAAATTATTGCGTAAAATGGTCTTGCTATGTGGCGCCAAGGTCCAGATATTTGGGAAAACTGTATTTATGGCCGGATTTGGTTAGAATTTGGCGTATGTAGTTGAAACATAATAAATCACATATTTCCAAAAAATTTACTCTGAATTGGCGCTGAAGTCAAAATATAAAGTATATTCGACATAAAATGTATGTTTTATTTGCGTTAAAAAAATAATTTAAAAGCAATATTAACAAAAATATAACTAAGGAAGTTGATGTCACGTGACGCCACTTCACGTAACGTTTCACACTTGGGGTCGTAAAAGAAATTTGAAACAAGTTGCATTAATCTAAAAAAACTCTAAAAACTCTTCTAAGTAAAGAAAAAGTCGACTTGCATTTTTTGTCACGTAACGACACTCTCTTTAATTGCTTATATTTAAGGACAATGCGGTTCGATTGTTTTCATTTTTCGGCTAAATATACATAGATCTAATTATGTGCTATACAAGGGTCTAATAAAAGTAAAAGAAAACAAATGTATTTCCTTGTTTGTATCTCATTGAAACGTACGACAGTCACGTATGACACGTATGGAAATACTCATATGGCATGAACAAAATCTATTTTTGCATTGAAGAAAATGCGCTACACCCTCGGCAAAAAAAATCTAAAAATTCAACGGTAATTTACAGCTACTGGAAACTTGCACTTTATTATACTGAAATTGAAGGAGCTACAAAACTGTATACCGGAACTTTTTCTAAAAATTCTGATTAAAAACTTTTTTTTGATTTTGATCAAAATTTTTTAAGCTGGATTATATTTTATGAATTTTTTACAAAGTTGATTTATATAATTTTTGTTATAGAATGAGGTATATTTTAAATGAATATTCACGAAAATGATTTATGATGGAAAGCACTTTGAATAATTTAAAAAAATATCACTTGTCGACATTTTGCGTACTGGCATATTGTTGCCGCCACAAAGCATCTGCACTGCCAACTGCGGTTTTTATACCTTTGGTAGTACTACTTATATGTGTAAATATCAGTAAACAGTTGTTTATAACAAAACTCTCGGTTTAAATGAGTAATTTACTTGCTAATATTAGAAAATTTCTACTGCAATTGGCATAAAATCTATTTTTTTTTTATCAAGGTATAACTTCTTGAGTTTCTAACCAAAAGCTCGGAGTTTTCAGACGTTCATTTTTAGGTTCTGAGGAAAAAAGCCAGGTATTAAACAACTGTGCCAGATACCAAACGCGATAAAAAAGGCTGCTCACAACAGTAACCGAACTTCGCGTATTTTATAAAAATTATGAATTTTCTTGCATTGTAGATATAAAATATACTTTTTACTCCTTAAGAAGAGGAATCCTAGGTTAGAGAACAACGTGCTACTTAGCGCTTACATATATGTTAGTGTTTGGCCGAGCTCCTCCTAGATTTGTAGCGTGCGACTTGACGCGCGAGGGGCGCCCGCTGTTAAGAAAAAACCTTTTTTCTAAATTTTTTTTTGCGATATTGCTTTGACCAGGGCTTGAACCCAGGCCTAGCGGAGTGGTAGCGCGCACTGAAATACATACATAGGTGTAATTACCATACAAAATTTTGGAGTTTTTGCTCAAAATCGGAAAAATTTATATGAGTGGTATATTTTTTTTCTGATTGCGATGAAATTTTTAGGAACGTATTTTTATAAAAAAAATCTATTCTCAACAAACTTTTGGCTATTTCCATACATTTACGGCCGTTTACGGAAATTTTTGTAAGAAAGCTGTACCAAATATTTGTCGGATGGCAAAAATAATGTCGAATTCGGATCCCTCGCACCAAAAACCCTCCAATACGAATTTTCAGAGCAATCGAAAATCTCAATATTTCGCTCAAAAAGGGGTCCCGCCTAAAAACTTGAATTTAATATTACTCGATTACCTAACCTAGAAAAATTACTATCACCACTAAATTCAGCGTACCAGAATTGACTTTACTAGGTAGTTCGTCGGCTTGTTCAAAGTAAAGAGTTTAATTTTCGTGCACAGTGTAACCGACGATGCTGTTATCCAGCGATGCCAAAATCCTCGTTTAGTACCGTGGTATCGGCGATTATTAACATGTTACCTTTTTATCTAATCGTGCAGGACACTGGTGTGTATCTACAAAAGAACTGCTAATAACTACTCTCTAAGGATCTTTTGTATTCAATAAATTAGGACTGTGCGATTAATTTATTATTAAATAATTTAATTAATCATAAAGTAAATAACTCAATTATTCGATTAATTGGAAGTTATCGTCTAAGATCCGACAAAGGCACGACTTTCACGACTTGGATGAAATCTTTTTCCTATGAAGTTTAACGTGTTAATAAATATTTTGCGAGTGGGTTGGCTGAAAAAATCTTGGTCAGGATATTTTTAATGAAATATTCAAAAATTATTATTATTTTTTTAATTCTGTACTCATTTTTTTAATGAACAAATTATATACCAATCGAAAGTATTAAGCCTATAGAATGTGAAAACGTTGGGTTGTCTATTTGTTTCCTGTGTACCTATCGGGTTGGCAGGTATGAACAGGTAGGTAATATTAGTAATTTTCACTCATCTGTTTAACACATTCTATAGGCTTTATGCTTTCGATTGGGATATATGTAATTTGTTCATTAAACAAATGAGTGAAAAATTAAAAAAAAAATGTAATTTTTGAATATGTAATTAATTTTTCAGCCAACGCACTCGCGAAATATTTCCTAACACTTTAAATTGCATACAAAGTAGATTTAATCCATTAAACAGATGGGTGAAGGTCGTGCCTTTGTCGGATCTCCTACTATTATGATTACTCAAAAGTTCAGTTATTCGAGTAATCAAGATTTCGATTAACCAAAAACAAAAATATTTGAGTAATTTGCTTTATGATTAATCAAAGTTATGAGAAAAATGAGTAATCAACATTTCAAAGTACTCTTTACATATAAAGCAGTTGAAGTTCCTTGATACTTTGAAACATGATAAAAATATAATGTTTTTATCATGCTTTGAAAACAACGTTTCTGTTTTCAAAAATTATAATTAAATATTTTTTTCATATACAGAATGTAAAATGAAAATAAGCATTTTCCAAAGTAAACTCTTTTAACGAGCAAAATTAAGTTTTTTGAGTAATCATATTTCAAGTAACTCGATTAATCATCGGTTTTAGTATTCAAAATCTTCATTACTTGAGAAACTGATTAACCGAATAACTGATTAACCAACTTGCTCGAGGAATCGAATAATCGCACACCCCTACAATAAATAAATAAGTAAGTAAATATTTTATTTCAAGTATGTATTGCAAATGATGACCAACCATGCTAATATTGAGGAAACTTTAGGTTTTCGCTGAGTAAATATCTTCTCAAACACTGAATGCTTTTCAAAACAACGTCACTATCTATGCACTTAAAATGTTCAAGTTCCAATAAATGAATTCGTTTATTTCTCTCTCTCCTTAGCTGGGGTCGTTGGCCTGAAATTCTCGAGCTAGGCCAATTTAAACGTGGTTGGCGCGAAATGGACGTTGCAGACTGCGCCCGAATAATTGTACGTATAATTACAATGCTGCATAAATATATATTCTTCTACTATAGTTAAATATTATTTTATTGCAGTTACTCTATTGCCTACAAGTTTATAAGGGTGATGAGAAAATCAAGAATTTCATTTGGGATCTGATAACACCGACTGAAGATGGTGAAGTACAGAAGATCAGCAGGGATCATAGTGGCCTACATAATTTGGTGCCACGAGGTAGGAATGCAAAAGGTATGGTAAAAAGATACAAACACGTATTCTTAACTGCACGGACGTAGTTAATGCGCGCACGAACGCTCGAATCATTATAAATTTAGCAAAAACAAAAACATGTGCTTATATATCTGCACACACGCTGAAGTGGACTTCGCCTAAATTTTTCTAACAGTTGGAAAAGCAATATTTGTTTTTGATGCAAAGGAAAACGATGTTTACATTCTAATCTATTTTACTGAAGAAGCACAATGATTGATAACATACTGCATGTTTCCTTCGCAATTTTAGTAGTGATTGGCGAAAACGACCGATTCAACGAATGCACCCAGCAATGCAACATTTTCGCGTTTAACGACAATGTAAATTGACTGTATGTGTATGCTATTTACTAACGTCGGTAATTTTACCCTAGGACTCGAGTTACTTAAACTGTTCGATATAAATGAAAGATGTTCGTGGCTGGTTTCCTTACTTTCTATTATGTAATTGTAGATTATTGTTATCTAAATACTACCGTATGTTTACATACATATAGTCGTTTAAAGTACAAAACCGCGTATCAAGAAAATGCAAAACCTCGTATGTGAGGTTGCCAAAATTTTATAGGAGAGAGTGAAACTTGTCTTATTTCAAAACAGTTCTCTCTTTTATGCCCTTTTATATCTTCCGCTTATGTCTAAGTATCGATATTTTAGTATGAATGGATAAGGGCTTGATACCAGGAGCTTCCGGTGAGCAAATATCGTTTTAGGCACAGATGACAAGTTACGACGTTTTGCAGAACCACGATACGCGGTTTTGTACTTTAATCAACGATATGTGTATGGTTTTAGTGTATAAGTAGATTGTATCCGTATATGTAATACTTCTATATTGGCAGTAAGAGCTGGTACCGTCCGAAAACATTACAGTAGAGATATATCAATAAACACGTACGAAAGAAAAGAAACACATACGTTTATAAATAAACATGTACACAACACATACACAAAAACGGCACTCACGTACACAATACATTCACAAAAACGGTACTTGACTGTTTCGCTTTGATTTGGGAATGCTTACACATTGAGAAGTTAGCTTACTGCCAATATAGAAGTATTACATATATGATTGTATCTGCGTAAGGTATCTCAAGTGGATCATGAATTTACCGATCTTTGAATTTCCGGAAAATTTTTGTCTGAAATGAAGTTCTACTCGCCTGAAATATACTCCTTAAATTTCTTTGAAAAATGTTGACTTTATAATAGCATTTGAATTTTTTTTACATCGGTACGGAATTTATTTTTCTTTGAAAATTTTCTCTAATGATTTTTTCAATATAGGTCGAGATCATAAATCTACTAAATTAAATTTATTTTTTTGACTTGAAAATTTGAAATTTAATATAAATTAGCTTTTACCCGCGGGTTTCACCCCATGTCAGAAGGAATTAGAAGGGTCATGTGACTTGTTGTTCCGAAGTTATGGCTGATAAAAAATTCCAAGCCTATGTTAAGTGCTACGCCCTCTTTTACAAACTCATTTATATATAACTTACTATAAGCACCTACCATAGATATGTCTGCATACCAAATGTCATGTTTATGTGACTTGTGGTTAATGTGACCAACTATTTCATAGCTCAAAGAAGTACAGGCTAGGTTGGGTGGGTTGGGTTAACGCCGCGAGCCGAATACCTGAGAGCTCAGTGTTAGTTCTGAAGAGTGAGCCAAAATGCTTTAATATTAGCCTTGCGAAGGTTGGACTCCAAAAGAAAGTGTGAAGATGATTACACTTCATCTTCCTCTTGACAGCTGATACAAAAGGGATCAGTGAAACTCCTAGTGAATATTAATCGCAAAATGGCCTGTCAAAACTCACATCACTAGCTCTTGAGAAGTAAGGTGGTATTCGGCGCCTTTAAGGGGTAACGATGGGTCACTCGTTACTTGCGCTGCAAAAAGTATTTTAAAGTGCCTTATAAAAACATTTATTTTCCTCTTTTATGTCACAAAAGGAGCATCGCTTTCTTTTGTCCATTTTATTAGGTATTTAGTACAGCATGAAATTTCATTATTGCGAGTACTAATTTTGCGTGTTAGTCTAGCACTCGCTGAGCTCACACTAGGCCCAGCCATCCAAGAGTGAACGCAGGAGACAGAGGCGTCCTTAGTTGCTTCTTATCTGGGGGCCTTTCCAACGCCATGTCATCAGCCACTCAGTTTTCAGCGATGTCACTGTTGCCCGGCAACTACACTAGAAGAAGTACCTAAGAAGCACTCTGACGCGATGGATAAAAAAGTCAGATATTCCTTTGAGTGAGGCAGCTAATTCCACCTGAAATACATTGCAGAAGTCCGGAAGCCTTAGTAACCCCGTCCTACCCAGTCCTCTCTTGAGGGAATATAGGTAGAGAAAGAGCTTCTGGGAGGCATTTCGGAGGCGCTGTAATCTATGTGTTCAGGGCGAAGTCACATTTATATATATAGATAAACAGGCCGGACTTCGTAGTACAAAATATCGCTCTATTGTAATGTAGTGGGCAGAAGTGCGCACTACCATTTGGCAAAGCCTGGGATCAGAAAAGAAAATGTTTTTTTTTTTCAAATAGCGGCCGCCCCTCGGCATGCAATTCAAACCTCAAATGTTACTGAACTGCTGTCATATGTTTTTTTATCTTCCTTTTCTTACATACTGATGACAGAAATATTTTAAATGTCAATTGAATAATAATTTCGGGACTTATGTCAAATTTTTTCGAAATTTTTTCCGAATGTAATTTTATGATCGCAGCGAGTTTCCCACTATCTCCGCCAAAATTTTCGCTCCTTCGAAATTCGTAATTATGAAAAAAATTATGTCATCAACAAAAAAAAAAAACGAAAATTTCAGTTTTCGCCTTTCAAAAGTGATTTTTCTCATTATTGACGCTGTAACCGCCTAAGCGAGTCTAAAAGTGCACGCCTGCCGTTTCTCTTATGCTGGATTTACATGATGCAATTTTCTAGGCGATTCAACATTCCTCAAGAAAAATCGCTCGTGTAAATGGTGATTCCAAAATCGCTTGCCTTAAAGCAAACAGCAAGTCAACTGTTGCATGCGATTATCGCCTGTCAAAAAATCGCTTCATGTAAAGGCAGCTTTAGGTGCCAACTGACGCTAATCGGAAATGCTAAGTGAAGCTAATTTCTTCACCACACGGTCTGTTACAGCCGTCGCGTTGAATACTTTCAGAGACACTGAAAACCTAAAAGACACTTATAAAACCAATTTGTATATTACAATCCAAAAAAGTCTAAGTGAAGAGCTCTCAAAGATTAATTAACCTTTGAAAACTAGTGAAAAAATATATGTGTAGGCCTGAAAAGAGTAATTATGTATTTTATGAATAGAGAAGTCATACCAAAACCTCTGATAATGGACGAACGCATAGATATTTTAGTCTACACTAATAGTGAATAGTCTTCACGGAATGATTTTGGTTTTACTTTAATTAATTAATGTGCACACGAATGACTGAAATATTTTATGAAATGTAATGTGTGAACGTTATCTATTAAAATCTGAAATAGTATGGAGGAAGACTATTCATGATCCTTTTAAAGAGGAATCCCATGGTGTAATAATAACAAGGTGTGGTCTGTAACTTAACCTCACTTTTTCGGCAGCGTATTCGTTATCAAAATCTGAAATGGTATGGATGAAGACTATTCATGATCCTTTTAAAGAGAAATCCCATGGTGTAATAATAACAAGGTGTGGTCAGTAACTTAACATCACTTTTTCGGCAGTTCTATTCCGGTCACGCATTTTAAATTAGTATAAATGGTGATAATTATTTACTACTTTTAATCCGTTTGTGCATACTATTTTAAAATAAATGTAGAAAAATATATACACTTACAGCCTTATAAGCATGAATATATGTTTGTATCGGCAGCTCCGCATGGTATGGCCATATATTAGAATTTATAAAAAGTAAAGGTCGTGAAATAAGGCAATTTCCTATAAGAATGTAAATGATTTTTTAGATAGATCGGGACAAATAAATATCGCATATAAGTGAATTCCTTATTTTAACATGCAGCCACTCTATTCTAGCAATTTTAAATATCAATATCGTTCTGAAAACACCAAGTTCTTAAAAAATCGCGATAAAAAAATTGCTAAAGTGAAGTACTTTAGATCAGGGGTTCTTAAACTTTTAAGATGATGGAATCCTTACTAACCACATTTCATTTTATGGAACCCCACATCAAATTACTAAAAATAAAAGGCAGAGCAATTTAAATATGAATAAAAACTTTTACTAGAAATAGTATACATACTTTAAATTTTAATGTGAATAATGAAATTGTTTCACTGTTAGTAATTATTGTATAAAATAGCAGTTCGATATAATGTCTGAAAGCTCTATGCGCATTTCTGGGGTAGTTGTAAGCTGAAACCCTTGTTGACACAGTACGTTGTGACAGAAGGAAGCAAAGTTAAGATGGTCTTTTTAGTGACTTCATGATATTTACTCTTAACACTAACCCAAAACTCTTTTAGAGACACAGATTCAAATGTGTGTTAATGTCGAAGTACTCTGGAGATCTATGAATGCTTCGTAAATGGGTTTTGTACCAAACCGATATTACTACTACCATCCGAAAAGTAATCTGACAAAGCTTTCAGGTGATTTACCAAGTGCTCAGTTATGACATTTCACATTTCATTTGGCAATTCGTCGCGTTCCTTGTAGGAAGTTGTATATAACCCTTTGGCTACAGCGGCCAACAACACATGCCGGTTAGAAAAAGAAAACAAGGTGGCAAGCGCAACCTCAACGCTCTTATGTAGGTATGGCACTCAGTACGGCAATCATATGTGCCAACTACAAGTAGATAATTACGTCTGGGTCAAGCTGTTTATAGAACTTTTCTTTCTGTGTGCAACTCAAACCGACCACCGCGCTTATTCATACCAAAATTAATTTCGCGGTACCCCGGTGACTTTTCTACGGAACCCTTGGGTTTCGCGGAACACACTTTGAGAAGCTCTGCTTTAGATGCTAGTTCCCCAAGAATAGTAGTATAAAAATTATGATTGCCAGCACTGAAAATAAGCATGCCGATGCTGTCAAAATTACAACAAACACGCTGCTACTGACAACACCTTGTTATTACTTTCCACCATGGAGGAATCCGACTTCGCAAGTAGGAGGATCAGTTGTTCTACAGATAAAACTTTGTGAAAGTAACCATGATACAAAAAAGACGGTAGTTTCAATAAACAACTTTTTTATTAAAAGGCAGATTTTTGACAGTTGATCAATTGTGAAAAATTCGAAGCGGCGCACAGTGCCTCACTTCCATATAAAATGTTGGCAAAAATAGGATTGTGGACGGATTTGAATGAAAATTGTTTCATAATAAACTTGAGAACGCTGAATTCAAAACTGCTATTGGTTTTTTGATAACTTTCATACTTCTACTGTAAATGCAGTTTGAAGTTGAAAATTTGGGTTCTTGTAGCATTTGCATAGGTACCCTGCAGGGAAACCGCGGACTAGTGAATAAAATTTCTAGTTCCGTACAAGATCTTTATCGCCAAAAACGAACCAGTCCGATAGTACCAGTTCAAAATCAGCGAAATGTGGTACTCTTAAAAAAAGTCTTTTATTTCATTTTTTTCATTAGAATCTATATCTACAGAATAAGGGATGCTGCGGGGGCTTGTTTACTTTACATAGATATGTGCTTGGCGGATTTTTCCTTCAAATGCACTTTCATTCTGCACTTCGCAGATGCTTTTTCATAGTTTGGTAATACAAAACAAAAGTTTGTTTTAACATTTTAACTTCTTAGGACCGTCTGGAATCTAACCAATAACAACGAGCACCTCTGCAACGTTCCCACGACAGTCGGGACTACGTAACCGGAACGACCCAGATTTATATTTGG